AGTCCCAGGATTCCCAGCACACACCACACTCCATGACCCCATCGACCGCCACAGTTCCCAGGTCTTCCACCCCTTCCCATGGCCAAGCTACTGCCCCAGAGCCCACACCTGCTCAGAAGACTCCAGCCAAAGTGGTGTATGTGTTTTCTACTGAGATGGCCAATAAGTAAGTTGATGGCACTGTCTTGCTGTTGAACGTCACTTATGTGTGTGGGGAGAGGGGACCTTAGTTCTTATTCCTCTTCCCCTTGCAGATTGATTTTTTTCCCCCCTCTTGTATCATGTAAAGTTAATAGTACAAAAAGAGATAAAATAAAATGTAAATCCTTCCCCATCCTACTCCCCAGAGGCAACCACTGATAATACTTCCTTGACTTTTTTTTCAGAAATTTTTTGTGCTAATACAAATATACACATCTACCTTTTTTAAACATAGAAGAGTGATTATATAATAAATACTTTTTCTACAATTTGCTTATTATTATTTTTTAAATGCCCCAAGTAGTAATTGTCTATAGTGGAATAATTAAAATTAAAAAAAAAAAAAACCACTAAAAAGAAAAACCTCTGGAATTTAAACATAACTACCATGAACGTCTTGCTATGTATGTTCTGAGTGGATGGCTGAATCGATTTTTATTCGTTTATTCGTCAAAAAGTACCCTGTGTGCACTTTTTTTCTTTTCTTTTTCACTTAAGATAAAAAGTGAATCTTAACAAACTTAAACTTTCCCTATCCCTGGGTGTTTTTGAGATTTTAGTGTTCACACTTCTCAGTTTGGGATTTTGAACTAGGATCTTCTATAAAATACCTTAATAGTAGGTTCATTAAGAAGAAGAAAGTTTGGGGTTTTGTTTTTTGTTTTTTTAATGCCTGTTTTGGGGTACATTCATGGCTGTCTTTTAGTTTCAGGTGTTTGATGATAATAAAATGTTTCCCTTGGTTTCTTCTTCTGTTCTTAAATTTATTTTTTAGTTGTTGATTTAGAGACGCGAGCCCAGAGCCTCACACATGGCAGGCTGCGCTCCACCACTGAGCCACCCCCGGCCCCTTGGTTTCTTCTTATCCAACATCTCTGGTGGTTCTTGGTGCTTCTCCTTCCACTCCCTTAGAGGTCCAGCGTGGGGTCCAGTTGGGGTCACAGTGAGTGAGACAGAGACATGGCCTAGCACGTTGCCCTTTTGTCTCTGCAGAGCTGCCGAAGCCGTGTTGAAGGGCCAGGTTGAGACCATCGTCTCTTTCCACATCCAGAACATCTCCAGCAGCAAGGCGGACAGAAGCACAGCCCCTCTGGTATGTGGTTGAGAAGTGGGTCCACAGTGACTGCCCAGGAGGGGGTGGTGATTGACAAGGAGCTGTATTCTGGGTATCTAGTGTGACCCTGGCATTGTAGGGCCTTAGGCATGTCACACTGTGCCTTTCTATCAGATGCTGGTAAACTGATGACGTGTAAGGGGAAGAAGGTGCTAAACAAAAGAGGAGTTACACAGATATTTCAGGGTCACCATCTCTAGGAAAAATCTAAATTCAACCCTATGTGTAGAGCAGATTTTTTAAAAAATAACATTCTTGAATTAGTTGAAGAAGAAATATGCAGTGTTTATTTTAATGCATATAGTTGATTAAATTGAACCAAACGACGTTTCTGGTGTCTGGCATCGTCCAGGCATTGCACCAGATGCTGTGGGGAATGCTAAGAAGCTCAAGACACAGTCCCTGTGTTCAGAGAGCATGAACTCTGATACTGGTATGAGTCTTAATCATGGGAAAGTTAAATGACAGTAAGCAAAGTTATAATTCCAGATAAAATCGGTGCCATCTTGTCTACTTTGTGTATCAAAGAAATCTCCATCTCTGTGGACATAGCAGAGCTTGAGCTTTCCTGAACTTAGGAATTTTATATTTCCCAGGTATCTGCACTACTCAGAGATGGAGAGTGAATACCATTATATTTAAAATGCTTGTCGTCTGGGGGTCCACTGGGTACCTTGCAACTCAGTCGAGCTTTATTGACTTAATGATAGTTCTTAATACAGTTATCACCTCCACCTTCTCTGGTGCTAAAATGTAATCAGAATTGGAGTTAAGGAGGGAATTAGTAATAATCCATTGCTCCAAATCTGAAATGAAAGGGGTAGTGAGAAACAGTTTCCTTGACTATAGTTGCTTTATTAAATCTTACCCCCCTCTAACCTGGCCAACCAAACCAAACCTGAAACGGCACGACAAGGGAAATTGGGGTGACCTCCAGGCTCCAGTTGAGGAGTTGCAAAAGTGGAATTGTGCAGAGTCAAACAGATTGAGCTGAGTTTACCCATACAAACATATCTACAGACAAATGTGCATCAGTACTTCCAATGAAACATTTGTGTATATATTTTTTCACAGAGTATAAATACTCAAAGGATGTTTTTGCTTATATGAAATATAAGTTCTTCATTTGTGTAGATACACGTAATAATTCATGTGCAGATTTACCCAAAGGTAAACATTCCAGAGAGTAAGTGGGGAGGTAAGTTAAGAGCCTTGTGGGTTTAGGAATACAGAATGGATTAAATGAACAAGTAGGAACAAATGAACACCAGAAAGGGATTAGGAGGGTCACTGACAGCTGGTGAAAAATAACTGAGAAAGTTTGTAGACCAGGCCCTTCTTAACCCTCTGAAGTCTCAGCTGTGCTGAAGTCGAGACCTAGAACATGTACATCCTTCTCCAGACAGTCGTAGTGTCTGTGTCACCAGGTGTAGGTAAGGGAGCTTTTATCAGGACTCAGTTTAGCAGAGTACTTAATAAATTGAAAAGGGCAGCCTGCTGTCCATTGGAAGGGACAGATCAGGGGACACTGCCAGCTAGATAACCTCAGACTTGTGTGCACACGCTTCCTTCCTGCAGATTGTCCTACTACAGTTAATGTACAAATTCTTATCAGATACAGAATCAGTGATCACAAACTAAAAACAGAAACCATAGATGTGAGGCCCCTGGAAACTCAAGGAGGGAACACTTCAGTCGTCACCCTGCCAGAGGGGATGTGACATGGAGTGGCCTCCCGCTGCATGTAGCTGGCAGAGCACAGAGCTACAAGTGAAGCATCAGACCTTTTGATTGATGACGATAAGTCTGCATACCCTATTGTACTTCCAGGAAAAAGAAAAAGGTGTTAGGTGTAGCCTCCCACATACCAAGGAACTAATCTTTTCCCTGAATCAAAAACACATAGTAGACATGTGATATCAAACCTGTTCCCGAAATAGATACTCAGATATATTCTCTTTGGCAGAGTGGCTCTCCCCTGGCATGCTTATAAAGTTTTTGGAACCTGATCTTCAACAAGGGAAAGAGGATGCCATTTGACAGTAAGGTTTAAAAAAAAAAAAAAAAAATCGAAACATCTCTATGTCCAAAGAAGGGTTGTACGTAAATAATTTCAAAATCAAGTGTCAGTATAGAGTTATGTCACTGGGACAAGTCCTTTATAACGTATCTTGCTCTTTTAATTGCCCCTCTGTTCAGTTTACCAATGATCTAAACAATCTCATTTATCTTCAGAATACACAGATATCTGCCCTTCGCAATGATCCGAAACCTCTCCCACAACAACCCCCAGCTCCAGCCAACCAGGACCAGAATTCTTCCCAGAACACCAGACTGCAGCCAACTCCACCCATTCCGGCACCAGCACCCAAGCCTGTGGCACCCCCACGTCCCCTGGACCACGACAGTCCTGGGGTGGAGAATAAACTGATTGCTCCTGTGGGCAGTCCTGCCAGTTCCACTCCGTTGCCCCCGGACGGCCCCGGGCCAAACTCAACGCCCAACAATCGAGCAGTTGACCCCTGTCTCCCAGGGGAGCAGTAGCTCTTCGGCAGATCCCAAAGCCCCTCCACCCCCATCAGTGTCCAGTGGCGAGCCCCCCACACTGGGAGAAAACCCCGACGGCCTGTCTCAGGAGCAGCTGGATCACCGTGAGCGCTCCTTGCAGACCCTCAGAGACATCCAGCGTATGCTCTTCCCTGATGAGAAAGAATTCTCAGGAGGACAGAGTGGGGGGCCCCAGCAGAATCCTGGGGTATTAGATGGACCTCAGAAAAAAACAGAAGGGCCAATCCAGGCCATGATGGCTCAGTCCCAAAGCCTGGGTAAGGGTCCTGGGCCCCGGACAGATGTGGGAGCTCCCTTTGGCCCTCAAGGACATAGAGATGTACCCTTTTCTCCAGATGAAATGGTTCCACCTTCTGTGAACTCCCAGTCTGGGCCCATCGGGCCTGACCACCTGGAGCACATGACCCCTGAGCAGATGGCGTGGCTGAAGCTGCAGCAGGAGTTCTACGAGGAGAAGAGGAGGAAGCAGGAGCAAGTGGTGGTGCAGCAGTGCTCCCTGCAGGACGTGCTGGTCCACCCGCACGGGCCCAGGGCTGTGGGCCGAGGGCCGCTCCCTCCCTACCAGGTGACCCCTGGTGAAGGCTGGGCACCCGGGGCTGCAGAGCCGTTCTCTGATGGAATCAGCATTTCGCATTCTCTGCCCCCCAGGGGCATGGCTCCCCATCCCAACATGCCAGGGAGCCAGATGCGCCTCCCGGGATTTGCAGGAATGATAAACTCTGAAATGGAGGGGCCAAACGTGCCCAACCCTGCGTCTAGACCAGGCCTCTCTGGAGTCAGTTGGCCAGACGATGTGCCAAAAATCCCAGATGGTCGAAACTTCCCTCCCGGCCAAGGTGTCTTCAGCGGTCCTGGCCGAGGGGAGCGCTTCCCAAACCCCCAAGGATTGTCTGAAGAGATGTTTCAGCAGCAGCTGGCAGAGAAGCAGCTGGGTCTCCCCCCAGGGATGGGCATGGAAGGCATCAGGCCCAGCATGGAGGTGAACAGGGTGATCCCAGGCTCCCAGCGCCACATGGAGCCCGGGAACAATCCCATCTTCCCGCGGATACCAGTCGAGGGCCCGCTGAGTCCTTCCAGGGGCGACTTTCCAAAAGGAATGCCTCCACAGATAGGCCCTGGTCGGGAACTTGAGTTTGGGATGGTTCCTGGTGGGATGAAGGGAGACGTGCATCTGAATGTCAGCGTGGGACCCAGCCCTCAGATGATACCTCAGAAGATGAGAGAGGCTGGCGCGGGCCCTGAGGAGTCGATGAAGTCCCGCCCAGGCGGCTCAGACATGCTGCCTGCCCAGCAGAAGATGGTTCCCCTGCCATTTGGTGAGCACCCTCAGCAGGAGTATGGCATGGGCCCCAGGCCATTCCTTCCCATGTCTCAGGGTCCAGGCAGCGGCAGTGGCTTGCGGAATCTCAGAGAATCAATTGGGCCCGACCAAAGGACTAACAGCCGGCTCAGTCATATGCCACCACTACCTCTCAACCCCTCGAGTAACCCCACCAACCTCAACCCAGCTCCCCCCGTCCAGCGTGGCCTGGGACGCAAGCCCCTGGATATCTGTGGCAGCCAGCCAGGTGCATTCCCCAGGCATCAACCCTCTGAAGTCTCCCACGATGCACCAAGTCCAGTCCCCGATGCTGGGCTCACCCTCGGGGAACCTCAAGTCCCCCCAGACTCCGTCGCAGCTGGCAGGCATGCTGGCAGGCCCAGCTGCTGCTGCTTCCATTAAGTCCCCCCCTGTTTTGGGGTCTGCTGCTGCTTCGCCTGTTCACCTCAAGTCTCCATCACTTCCTGCCCCGTCACCTGGATGGACCTCCTCTCCCAAACCTCCCCTTCAGAGTCCTGGGATTCCTCCAAACCATAAAGCTCCCCTCACCATGGCCTCCCCAGCCATGCTGGGAAGTGTAGAGTCAGGTGGCCCTCCACCGCCTACAGCCAGCCAGCCTGCCTCCGTGAATATCCCTGGAAGTCTTCCCTCGAGCACATCTTACACTATGCCTCCAGAGCCAACCCTCTCCCAGAACCCTCTCTCAATTATGATGTCTCGAATGTCCAAGTTCGCAATGCCCAGTTCGACCCCATTGTACCATGATGCCATCAAGACTGTGGCCAGCTCTGATGACGACTCCCCTCCAGCCCGTTCTCCCAACCTGCCGTCAATGAACAACATGCCAGGAATGGGCATTAATACACAGAATCCTCGAATTTCAGGTCCAAACCCCGTGGTTCCGATGCCAACCCTCAGCCCAATGGGAATGACCCAGCCACTTTCTCACTCCAATCAGATGCCCTCACCGAATGCTATGGGACCCAACATACCTCCTCATGGGGTCCCAATGGGGCCTGGCTTGATGTCACACAACCCTATCATGGGGCATGGGTCCCAGGAGCCTCCGATGGTACCTCAAGGACGGATGGGTTTCCCCCAGGGCTTCCCTCCAGTACAGTCTCCTCCACAGCAAGTCCCGTTCCCTCACAATGGCCCCAGTGGAGGACAAGGCAATTTCCCAGGAGGGATGGGTTTCCCAGGAGATGGCCCCCTTGGCCGCCCCAGCAACCTGCCCCCAAGTTCAGCAGATGCAGCACTTTGCAAACCCGGAGGCCCAGGGGGTCCCGACTCCTTCACTGTCTTGGGGAACAGCCTGCCTTCGGTGTTTACAGACCCAGATCTGCAGGAGGTCATCCGACCTGGAGCCACCGGAATTCCTGAGTTTGACCTATCCCGCATTATTCCATCTGAGAAACCTAGCCAGACTCTGCAGTATTTCCCTCGAGGGGAAGTCCCAGGCCGTAAACAGCCCCAGGGGCCTGGACCTGGTTTTTCGCACATGCAGGGGATGATGGGTGATCAAGCCCCCAGAATGGGACTAGCATTACCTGGCATGGGAGGTCCAGGGCCAGTGGGAACTCCGGACATCCCTCTTGGTACGGCTCCATCCATGCCAGGCCACAACCCAATGAGACCACCAGCCTTTCTCCAGCAAGGCATGATGGGACCTCACCATCGGATGATGTCACCAGCACAATCTACAATGCCCGGCCAGCCCACCCTGATGAGCAATCCAGCTGCTGCCGTGGGCATGATTCCTGGCAAGGATCGGGGGCCTGCTGGGCTGTACACACACCCCGGGCCTGTGGGCTCCCCGGGAATGATGATGTCCATGCAGGGCATGATGGGACCCCAACAGAACATCATGATCCCCCCCCAGATGAGGCCCCGGGGCATGGCTGCTGACGTGGGCATGGGTGGATTCAGCCAAGGACCTGGCAACCCAGGAAACATGATGTTTTAAGCTGCTAAGATTGGATGTGCCGATGCTTGTCGAGATGAGATTCCAGGTCCTGAGAGCTGCTCGGAGGGAGCACCAGGAGTGCTGATGTTGGTCATGCAATAGGGGGACAGAGACCCGAGGGCTGCTTTGGGGGAGGGAACTCGAGAATGTATGGATCTATCTGAAAACAAATTATTCGTTTAATCAACAGGTGTGTTTTTTTTAAGATTTATTTTTTAAAAATTATTTTTGTGGACTTGGGTATCCCATGATGGCACCTACTTTTGGGAATCTGTAGCCATGCTTTGAGAATCGCCATCGGTCACGTGTTGCACCGTTCTCTGTATGTTTACGTCCTTTGGACTGGCTTCTCCCAGGATTCTTTTATGTTTTGTTTTTGTTTTTGTTTTTTAAATTTGGGCTTTATTTTTTTGTGTGTACTGTACTATATTGTAAAAGGGATTTTAGCAGAGACGTTAGTCTTTGGGGCAAGAGGAGAACAGGAATGCTGGGCTGTTTACTTTAGGTGGAGAATCCATCTTCAGACTTTGGACTATTTTCTTTCAACTCCAGTGTATAGAAAAACCAAACTACGACCTCAGAGCAGAGTATTAATGAAAAGCACAAAAAAGGAACTAAGTTCAGCGAGGGGTGGGGGGAGGGGGGAAATTTTTCTTTTTAAAAATAATGAAGCTTAGGACATTTGTTTCAGTTCGCGTGCTCGTCAGCACTGTCTGTCTCTCCCAGTACACAAACCCACCATCAGGTCTTCTCTGTTTCCCCCACGCTTCCCGTCTTAGCTAAGTGTGTTCTCCTCCCTCGGGCCCTCCTCTCCTCTCCCCTGTGGCAGCTGCAATACCTGGTGTTCTGCTGGGGACTGCTCCAGCGAAGCCCTGTTCCTGCCGGCTGTCCTCCTGGCCCCGCAGGGGAGCTCTGTCCTGGGAGGGCCCTTGGCCCTCTCCCTTGGCCTTCCCACCCCCAGCCCACTCCCCCTGCCCACCTCATTTTCTGTTCTCTTTTTATTAGGAATTCCCAAGTGAATTTTATTAATGTGGGAGTGGAACAGATGCTAAAAGCTACCCAGGATTTTGTTTTTGTTTTAGATTTTGTGGTTCCTTCCCCTTCCTCCCCTCCCATGCGTAAAACGTTCTGTGTGACCTCCATTAAATTTGGTACAAAACCACTCACCAGAGCTGTGGTGTCAGAAAAATAAACTATATTGTTTCTTACAAAAAAAAAAAAACACAATTCCAAAGTCTTGGTTTCCTTTTTCATTCATTCTTGCC